ATAGCATTGATATACAGTATATATGACATCGATCGAGGATCTGGGGTTTAGGTATGTGAGACATGAGTTGCTACTTTTTGAATCTCATATTCAATATTCTTTCTTTAACCCTTATCACCCCGGGTGATCAATATCCTGTGTTCAGAATTTCGTTCCAGCAAGTCAGTGTCCCGAGTTGTGTTTTACTGAATCCCGACAAATATGGCGGCTAATTTGACAACAGACGATGTTGATGTCGACAATTATTCAAAACTTTCTGACAGCATAAGGTAAGACTGAATATAGAGTGGCGCATTCGGTGCCTAAATATGTTTGCAACATTTTCTTAGTTGTTTATCCATATGCGTTGGGTATTACTGCTAATCGAAGCATAAGTAAACGTGGTAACCGGACAACTCATCCCCTAGACAACTCATCCCTGGACAACTCATCCCCTAGACAACTCATCCCCTGGACAACTCATCCCCTAGACAACTCATCCCCTGGACAGCTCATCCCCTGGACAAGTCATCCCCTAGACAACTCATACCCTGGACAACTCATCCCCTTGACAACTCATCCTTTGGCATGTTTGAGTAATTTAATGTAATATTATTAATTCATATATTATTCAAATGATTTTTAAATGTATTGGTTATCATAATCAGTTTTAAGTTTCAAAATCATATATTAAATGAACACTGGTACTCCACTCGATTATGTTGTAAACATATTGTTTCGGTAACAAAATGTCAGAGCCTCAAAGGTACGATCTTTGTCTTTTCCTTATTTCTCCAGTAGTAGGCAGAATATCATATGTCTAAGAAGATGTACATGTGAACATGCTAACAAATAGTTCAGAAGACAACATGATCCTCGATTTAATACCTCACTTTTGTCATGTAAACAGAACTTCAAAAATGGTTAAGATCTGCACTTCTAACTCTCCATTTACATAACAATAGTGAGGTATTAAAGCTACGATTTTGTCTTCTGTGTACAAGTGAACAAAGACTTTCTTGGGGGGAAATCTGGAAAATTGTTTAAAAAACTGTGATATACCATGGTACTACTATGGTATTGTCAAGGAGATAATCAACCAATTAATCTGTAATTTGTTTTTTAAATATTTACCTTTAATTTTTCTTTTAATATACAATTTCAATATTATGTTAACATTGACTGAAGAAGCTGCTTTGATGTCATAAGCTCCTTTGATGTCATAATATGTTTGTTGTTCAATGTTCAAATATTCTTTAATCCAAAGATTATTTTTTTCACAGCAGTCACAGATTAAGTTATTGAACTTCATGTTACAAAATTATGCAGAGAGAAAACTTTATTTTTTTTCATGAAATCAAGTCATGCAATATAAGGACAAGTGATGAAAGTTTTAATGGCACGTTTGACTGTTTGACCATTCTATTTGTGTCAATAAAGTGAAAGATTAAAGATGTATCTAATAAATATTTATTTTCCAAAAAAAACAATTTGGCTTCATGTGATAAAGGATGAGTTGTCTAGGGGATGAGTTGTCCAGGGGATGAGTTGTCTAGGGGATGAGATGTCCAGGGGATGAGTTGTCCAGGGGATGAGATGTCTAGGGGATGAGTTGTCTAGGGGATGAGTTGTCCAGGGATGAGTTGTCTAGGGGATGAGTTGTCCGTAAGCCAGTAAACGTGACCTCATTCTCAACGCTCGCTGGAAAGTATGTCACCGAGTAGTTTTTGACCTTCTGTTAGTTAATGAGATAAACTGTTATCATGGTATAATTGCTGGATAGACGTTCAAAGTATGTACCAACTCGTGCTTCCAGTGAATGTAAACCATTTCTTTGCATAAGCGTCCTAGAAGGCATAATAAGATATATTCCATAGTACCGAATAGGAATCGCCAGTGTATCGACGCACTTCATGGATAAATGCTTATAGACTATTGAATCATAACGAACAGAAGCAGTGTATACTCACGTGTGATATCTTAATTTATCAAAAATAAGAATTGAATGCATTTGATAATATTGATAATTTGCCAACTTGACTGATTTTTTTCTAGTCTGAGTAATTATCAATGAGTAGTGGATTTGATTAATTGAGGATTTCTCATGTTAAAATATGTGAAAATTGTCAAGAGGCCACACACATCAGAGGATGAGAGTACAATGGGGGGGGGGGGGGGTGTATAGAGATATTGTATATCGTATAAGAGGCTGAAAAATTATTGTATATTGTATAAGAGGGGGCAAAATCTATCGTATATGGTATAAGTATATGGTATATGGTATAATAGAAAATATATGGTATATGGTATCTAGAATTAAAGAAGGCTAATTATGAAGAAATTGTACCCTAAAGTTCCCCCATTGTGCGAACTCTCTTACTGTAACCGTGTTGGTAAAACATGGAAAAGTAGTCTCTATAATTGGTTCCACATTCCAGGTCAATCAATACTGTAAGTTTAGAGAAAATCCCTCTCAAACTAAGAGTTTTGTGCCATTTTCATTCAAATTTTCACAAGAGGTGTTAAATATAGTCTCAAATAAGAATTATGCCCGATGATCAGAAGAAATAAACGGAGGGGGAGTAGATCTAGCTGATTTTCGGTAGAAAATTCAACAAATCTTGAAGATTTATTTTTTCAAGTGAAAGTTTACAATTGAATGACTAAATGAATAGTCA